TGGGTGGAACTTGTCTGTCCGGAAGTGACATCCGGCCTCCCGGTGCTTGTGGCTGCGGATGTGGGCCCGAGAGATGTGTGGACGTCGTCCCGTGTTCTGGTGAGGATACCTGCTTCCTCAGTGGACGCTTGAGTTCTCGTGGTTCTGAGTGGAGTTGTCAGTGCGCGAGTTGGAGGTATGCTGGCAGATCCCATCATGGGTCTGGAAATGGTGGAGTGGGCCTGGGTCGATGGGGTCAACAGACTTTCGGTGGTTGGAGGTGAGCCAGTGAAGCCAGAAGAGGAAGCGAGGGGTGCGCTCCTGGTGTGCAAAGTGTGTTTTGTTGTGGCTGAGGAGGAGGAGGACGAGGAGTCAGAAGAGGAGGAGTCGGAGAAGGAGGAAGAGGCGGAGGAGGTGAAGGAGGAGGAGGAAGAGGAGTAGGTGGAGGAGATGGAAAAGAACGAGTTGGGGGAGGGCCCAGGGTTGTGGAGAGCAGCACTGGAAAGCGTGATGGGCCTGCTTGTGGGCATGTGGGTGTCTTGTGTGGATTCCAGCTCTGGCTGCGAGGTGGCCCCTGACCTGCTGGTGCTGTTTCCGTGGGGTGTCTGCGCAGAGGTGGCAGCCTGCGTGTGGCTAGCCAGGGTGGAGGTACTGGAGGAAGAAAAGGCCACAGAGCTGGAGGGCACTGTGGCCACAGGCCCGGGTCTGGTCCCATAGCTTATCCCAGTGACATGTGCAGAACTCACCACTGTGTTCCCTTGCATGGTGCTGGGGACTGTGGCCTGGCTGTGAAGAGATTCTGGTGAAAGCGTGGCGGCTGGGTTGCTCATGGTGCTGTTGGTGCTGGAGGGCACCAGGCCTATGCTCTGCTGAGGGGAAGGAGTAAGATGGGAGGACGTGGCAGTAGGCTCCGCGGTGCTCGGTCCAGGGGATATGGGGGGCCCAGTAGGAGGCCAGTTAATGGCTGCGGTGAATCCCCTGGGGAGGCCGGAGGTGCCTGCTGACCCAGAAGCGACCCTTGTGGGCTCCTGGCCTCCAGCTGAGGTCAAGGAGGCAGGAGACACCTGGCGTGCTCTGGATGCACTGCTGACCTCTGTGGAGACGCTGCTGAATTCCAAGGTTGTGGGGACAGGCCCTTCGGGCTGGCTGCTGGAAGAGCTGGGCCCTGGAGTGCTCGCATGGCTGGCCATGCCCAGCGTCGTGAATCTTGTCACAGGGGCAGGGGAGGAGAGGCCTGTCCTGCCGGTGGAGGAGAGGCCCAGAGTGGAGGAGAAAGCCAGACTGGGGCTCTGGGTGGAACTTGTCTGTTTGGTAGTTACATCAGGCCTCCTGGTGCTTGTGGCAGCGGTCATGGGTCCAACAGTTGTATGGACGCCATCCCATGTGCTGGTTAGGGCAGCCACTGCCTCGGTGGACCCTTGAGTTCCTGTGGTTCCGAGTGGAGTGGTCGGTGTGAGAGTTGCTGGTACACTAGCAGATCCCAGCATGGGTCTGTACACTGTGGAGTAGGCCTGGGTCCATGGGGTTGGTGGAATTTCAGTGGTTTGAGGTGAGCCAGTGAAGCCAGAAGAGGAAACCAGGGGTGCGCTGCTGGTGTGCAAAGTGTGTTTTGTTGTGGCTGAGGAAGAGGAGGACCAAGAGTCAGAAGAGGAGGAGTCGGAGAAGGAGGAGGAGGTGGAGGAGGTCGTGGAGGAGGAGGAAGAGGAGTAGTTGGAAGAGGTGGAAAGGAACCGGATGGGGGAGGGCCCAGGGCTTTGGAGAACAGCACTGGAAAGTGTGATGTGCCTGCTTGTGGGCATGTGGGTCTCTTGCGTGGATTCCGGCTCTGGGTGCAAGGTGGCCCCTGACCTGCTGGTGCTGGTTTCGTGGGCTGTCTGTGCAGTGGTGGCAGCCTGCATGTGGCTAGCCAGGGTGGAGGTAGTGGAGGAAGAAAAGGCCACAGAGCTGGAGGGCACCATGGACACAGGTGCGGGTCCAGTCCTGTAGCTGATTCCGGTGATGTGTGCAGAACTCACCACTGTGTTCCCTGGCGTGGTGCTGGGGACAGTGGCCTGGCTGTTAAGAGTTTTGGGTGAAAGCGTGGCAGCTGGGCTGCTCATGCCGGTGTTGGTGCTGGAGGGCAGCAGGCCTATGCTCTGCTGAGGGGAAGGAGTGAGAAAGGAGGACGTGGCAGTAGGCTCTGAGGTGCTCCGCCCAGGCGGAGTGGCGGGCCCAGTAGAAGGCCAGCTGTTGGCTGAGGTGAGTCTGCTGAGGAGGCCGAAGGTGTCTTCTGACCCAGAAGTGACTCTTCTGGGCTCCTGGATGCTGGCAGAGGTTGGGGAGGCAGGAGACACCTGGGCTGCTGTGGATGCACTGCTGACCTCTGTGGAGATGCTGCTGAGTTCCAAGGTTGTGGGGAGAGGCCATTGGGATTGGCTGGTGGAGGAGCTGGGCTCTGGAGTGCTTGCATGTCTGGCCATGCCCAGTGTCTTGACACTTGTCACTGGGAGAGGGGAGGATAGGCCTGTCCTAACGGTGGTGGAAAGGCCCACAGTGGAGGAGAATGCCAGAGTGGGGCTCTGGGTGGAACTTGTCTGTCCGACAGTGACATCAGGCCTCCCGGTGCTGGAGGTTGCCGACTTGGGCTTGCCAGATGTGTGGAGGCTGGTCCGTGTGCTGCTGAGGGTACCCACTGCCCCGGTGGACCCTTGAATTCCCGTGGTATCGAGTGGAGTGGTCGTAGTGTGAGTTGGAGGTACGCTGGCGGATTCCAGCATGGGTTGGGACACAGTGGAGTGGGCCTCGGTCGATGGGGTCAGAGGTGTTTCGGTGGATGGAGGTGAGCCAGTGTAGTTGGAAGAGGAAGCCACGGGTGTGCTGCTGGTGTCCAAAGGGTGTTTTGCTGTGGCTGAATAGGAGGAGAAGGAGGAGAAGGTGGAGGAAGAGGAAGAGGAGGAGGAGGAGGAAGAGGAGGAGGAGGAGGAGGAAGAGGAGGAAGAGGAGGAGGTGGAGGAAGACAAAGAGGAGGAGGTGGAGAAAGAGGAGATGGAGAAGAAGGAGGTGGCCGAGGGCGCAGGGCTGTGGAGAGAAGCACTGGAAACCATGCTGGGCCTGCTTGTGGGCATGTAGGTGTCCTGGGTGGATTCTGGCTCTGGGTGCAATGTGGGCCCTGACTTGCTGGTGCTGATTTTTTGGGGTGTCTGTGCAGAGGTGGCAGCCTGCGTGTGGCTAGCCAGGGTGGAGGTACTGGAGGAAGAAAAGGTCGTAGAGCTGGAGGGCACCGTGGACACAGGCGGGAGTCTGGTCCCGTAGCTGATCCTGGGGACGTGTGCAGAACTCATCACTGTGTTCCCTTGCGTGGTGCTGGGGCCTGTGGCCTGGCTGTGAAGAGTGCTGGGCAAAAGAGTGTTAGATGGGCTTCTCATGCTGGTTTTGGCACTCGAGGGCAGCAGGCCTATGCTCTGCTGAGGGGAAGGAGTGAGAAGGGAAGATGTGGCAGTAGGTCCTGAGGTGCTCTGTCCAGGGGAAGAGGCGGGCCCAGTAGTAGGCCAACTGTTGGCTGAGATGAGTCCGCTGAGGAGGCCGGAGGTGTCTTCTGACCCAGAAGTGACTCTTCTGGGCTCCTGGATGCTGGCAGAGCTTAGAGAGGCAGGAGACACCTGGGCTGCTGTGGATGCACTGCTGACCTCTGTGGAGACGCTGGCAAGTTCCAAGGTTGTG